TGGCCCACTTGGTCCTCGCCAAGCTGTAGAACTGCCTTATCAGCTTTCCCACGCTGTGAATCTTAATGAAACAGGGTGTCAGCAGAGCAGCTGGGGGATTCAAACCTCTGAGCTCTCCATTGGCATCCCAGCGCATAAACTGCTCAGTTCGGAGAATGTTTTATTAAAGTGATAGCTCCTTGGAAACCATAATTCAAAATCCCACTTTTTTCTTTTTTTTAACTTGATTAAGGCAAGGACAGAACAGAGAGCAGCCTGTGCCTTGAGATTGTTGCTGCGGTAGGGTTCAGGGTAGGGCTTGGGGTGGTGGACCGCTGAACTGGAACTGTCTCATAGCGGACCCTCCACTGGGTTTTCAGAGGCAGTAAGGATAAACTAGCCCCTCTCTTCTCTCTCGCCAGGAATGTCTTTTTTAATTACAAGACAGGAAGCAAACAAAATCCAGACAGTGTCCCGCAATCAGACCCCTCCGTGTGGCCGAGGGGCCTCCACCGCCACCTGGGCGTCCAGCAGACGAGGAGGCTCCCGCCTCCGAGCCGTCGGAGGAGCGCCTGTTTGGGAGAACAAGGCGAGCCGCGCCCCCTCGAAGACGGCTGCGGCCTGTCCGCCATGGTGGGAGGGAAGCTCGTGTCCTGGTGAACTTGTTTCTAAAATGAAAACAATTTTTTAAGGAAATAAAAAGGGAAAAAAAACCCAACAACCCTAAATTGAGAACAGAACTGAAACATTCGCCTGGTAACAGATCCACACAAAACATGCAAATGCACATGTGCACATAACATGCAGACTTCTGCAAAATAAACACAATTACTTAGGAAAAACAAAGACTCAAATGAATTAAATTGCTGCAATTGGAAGGAATGAGTCAAAGTCAAGGGCATCGCTTTGAGTTTCCTTCTGTTCCTTCTGCCCTCCCCTTTGAACCCAGTGCTGAGTAGGAATTTCTTCGCCTTCCCCAACTATTCCTTCCCACCTCGAGCTGTTCAGTCGAAACGAAAATACGACTCTGTTCTGCTTTCTGTCGTCACACAGCTGCACTCAGGACCTGCCGAGGCCAAGTTCACAGCTACCCCGCCTCTAACCCTACTCAGTCTCTTTAAGTCCACTTCCAGGCCACATGGGGTTGTCACCTTTGGAGAAATGAGCCCAAATTTGAGTGAGGGGTGGGATATAAATGTATATTCTGAGTTGTTGTTTTTAAGGGTGGTGTTTCTCTTCATTTCCTCCTCTTCTCATCCCTCCCCCATAAGAAAAAAAAAACACCTTAGGATGGGAATATGGAGAAAAGGGTTTTCCAGGGCTGGCTGTATTTTAGTAAGAAATGTGGACTTCTTTGACCTGAGGGGAGTGGAGAGGGAGGGGTCACCCACAGCAGACCTTACTCTGAGGGAGCCATTAGACACAAGGGCAGCGTCCGGTCCAGTGGCATAGCCATGTCAAGAACAAATCAGCCGCAACCAAGGAAAAAAGAATAAATTTTTAAAATTTGTGAGTAGGTATGTGTGCACTTGCTGCTTCTTCCTCAAAGCTCTGAGATGGGCTCTCGGGTGGATGCTGCTGTGTCAGCACGCGGGAGCCCGGGTTTGAACTTGAAATAAACTTTGTTAATTCGGGTCGGGGGGGGGAAGCAGCTCTGAGATGGTCCTGCTGCTCCAGCTGAGTGAGCGTCCTGGCAGGCCTGGTCTCCAGTTTGCTGGCATTTGTCTGCGTGTACAGTTAACATGTAGCTAAATGCTGCACCGCCTTCGTCCTTAGAAAGTGGCTCGTTTTGTTTCTAGTTTATCCTAGAAGTCAGGCTGTTTTATCCTCAGACGGTGCAAGCACAGGTCACTCGGGTGCTCGAGTTCCTCCTGTGATGGCACTGAAACAGATTGTTCCCAAACTACAGAGGGAGGGGGAAGGGGTGTCAGGGAAAGTTTGAGCAACTTTATGCAGTGTGTGGTGTGTGTATTTTGAGGGAGGTTTTAGCAACTCGGTTTAATATGATTGACCTCTGTGTGTGCGTGTGTATTGAGGGAGGTTTTAGCCACTTTATGCAGTGGGATTGTGTGTGCAGCACCCACTGCAACCAAGGTACCCCACCCTTCATCCCCTTATCTCTTTCTGTTCGCACGCTGCTGACCTGCTTGCAGCCACTGCCTATATTAGTTTACGTTTTCTGGAGTTCTAGAAGTAGGCTGGCTCAGTATGTAGACTTTGGACTTGAGCTAATAGTCTTGTCAGGCAGATGTGATAGTGACATTTTGCTGCCATTTCCCTCCACCGTGGCATTCCTGGGCCTGAACTCCAAAGCTGCAGAGCCTTATTTGGAATCAGTGAAGTAAACCTTGCATAGAAGCAAAAGCTCAAAAGCAGTTTCCTCTCAAAGCAGCATTATTGAGGGTGGGGAACCCTGCGGGAGCCAGTCTGATTACCTGGGTGAGCCTCCCTGAAAAACAATGACACCTTTAAACCTTCGACCTGAAAACTTGTCTCCTGTTTAAAGAATTGCACTTCGTCATAATTAGTATCTAGGACTGAAATTCCCGAGGAAGCACTATCAGAGCCTTCTGCCTACTGGTGCAGCTGTGAGGTGCCTCGTTGATCTCAGTGCCTTCCATGACTCCGTCTCACTGTTGGGCTTGAGGCCCATGTTACGTCTCCCTGAGGCCGTGTGAAGCCAACTGATTCCTTTTTGGCGTAGCAAGGATGCCTCCCGACATTTTTAAAGAATCTGAAATACAGGCGCTGTGGTCTTGTATAGGGAGCTGCAATGGCAAGAAGCTGTGCTGCATGCAATCCTGAAGACAGGTGGCTAAAGGCTACCAGCTGCTCCGTGGAGAAGGATGGGCAGTCTCCTCCCATGTGATTAACTACCACTGAAAACCCGCTGGAGGGTCAGCTCTGCGTCACTTCTGACGTTCCTGCATGGTGTTCAGTGAGAGAATGCCCATCTCCTTGCACAGATGACCGGCACCTGAACTTGCCCTTAGTCATAACATCACCTCACACGTACACATGGGGGATTTATTGTTCCCTCATCCTGTGATTGGATTAGCAAAGAAATTTTGGTCATGTTCATGAGGAACATTAATCACCCACTAGGATTATTCTCAACAAGACTATTAAAAGTGTCTTGTCATTTTGAAATGGTGTTTGAAAGGGCTGATCACGAAGGCTGGTGACTGAGACAGCAGGCTGTATGGATGTAAAGGAGACCGAGCCTTACAGTGGCATCAGGACCTCACGGATGTACAGTTGGTTTACTTTGTACTGATTTAATGGGTTAACTACAGAACCAAAATCTGAAGAAGTCTGAAACATAATCTGCACAGGAAGATGCTGGCATTTCTTTTTGTTGGTTTTTAAACTACAAGATGAAGAGACTGTCTTCTAAGAATAGTGGAAAAACTGGAAAATCTATTCTGTAAAGACTGGTGTTAGGTTCCTTGGGTCAGTGAAAAGCTGAGGAAGGAGAAGCCTTAGTTGAAAGAGACTATGATTGTAAGATAAACCTGGTCTGGAGAAGAGCTGTACAAATGACTTTTCACAGCTCAGGTGATTGAAAACGGTCGAAGAGGCCAGTCCACAGTGGGCCAAGCAGAGGCGGTCACCTGGATCAGGTTAGACGCAGTGTCTGGAGTGAACAAGGGCAGAACGTCCCAGGAACCATAAATCAAGACCCCCAGGGGTACTAAGAGGGACAAGTTAGTTTACACCTTCTAGTGGGGTGAGCCTTTACGATATACCCCACCTAATCCTACCTCCTTACCACAAAGTGAGCACAGAAGTAGCATAGAGGCTATAATCACAAAGTGGAAGGTTGTGATGCCACTGCTTTGACTGACAGCAACCCTGTGAGCAATGAGTCTGCACCCTGCCCGGTGGTGTGGCGTCCTCACCATCTGTAAAGCCCCACCGGTGTTACAATCCATCTTGAGGGTCTTCCTCTTTCACTGACCATCTTTGGAAAGGTCCTATTATTTAATCATTGTGCACTCCTCCATGCTTTTTTTGTGAATTTCCCATCATAAAAGGGTTACAAAGCAAACCAAAACTTCAGGCCAGAAAATCATATCTGTGAGCCAGATTTAAGATGTAAGTTACTAACTGGTGCACACACAGCACCCTAATAATAAATTTAGCACCAAATGAACATCTCTGAGGATGATAGGAATGATTCCCAAAAGGAGCTGGAATTTCACCCATTTCCACCCTTAAGTCTGGATAGGTTCTGGACTGCACACATCTGGAAGGCCACACCCCTGCCCTCGTCAGCCTTCTGCAAAGCTAGCCAGCCAGCCAGGTGTGGGCTGAGGAAAGCAGCTAGCTGAGTCACCGGCCTGGAGAGGTGGGGGCAGCAGGCTGGTGGAGCCGCGGTGGGGGCAGGTACTAGGGGCCAGGAGCAGCTGGCATCAGAAATAAGATCTAGAAGAACAGTGACTGGTGCTAGAGGGGGAACAGCCACATCTGTTCACGTTTATTTATCCCAAAATATGTAAAATTCCACTTTCTACCCCAGGTATAAGGGCTCTCAAGGAGGGAACAGTGCTCATACCTATCTCAGGAGGCCTCAGATGAGGAAGTAAGGCTCAAACTAGGGAACCCCCAGATGAGGCCCAGAACCCACGGGGTGGGAAACCAGGCTCACAGCACAGCGCTCCTTAGCTCCTTCTGCCACAGGAAACGGTGCCAAGACAAGAGCGGATATCTTGGGGCCATCGGCCCTGAACAGTGAGGCACCTGGGCAGGGGGCGTTCCTCCACACTCGCTCAGCACCCAGTTTCTCCAAGAGCTGGGCACACCAGAGGAAGACAGAAAGCCTTGACACAAAGCTGGCTTCAGATTCTTGGGGGAGAACCTGGGCCTCGGGCCTTCCTTCCTCTCCTTGGTCCAAACGCACTTCCGGGAAGACCCGGAACTGGGACCTGTCAGCCACTGACTCCACTGGGCCCACAGTCTCCACCTCAGTCCTTCCAGCCACTGGGAAGATGCGGGTGGGTAATCAACCATCTGCAGCCTCACTGCATGCCCGCTGGGTGCATGGGCCAGGGCCCCTGGTCAGCCCCAAGGCCTGGCCCAGGAGGGACTGGCCCTGGAGGGACCGGCCCAGGAGGGACCTGAACCACAGGCTGCATCCGCTGCTGGGCCTGCCAGAGGTGGTGGAGCTCCTTGAACTGCTCCACCATGCGGTCCTTGAGGTCTGGGTTTGAAATCTGCAGCCGGATGCTGTCTGCCGACCAGGAAAGTTCCCCGGAGAACATCTCCAACAGCAAACGAGCGGCCACAGGCACCACCTGAGGGGAGAAGAGGATACAGGGCTGCTCAACCTGGTGTGCACCAGGGCCAGGTGATGGGCCACATCCCCCGAGGAAAACCAGCCAGCCACAGCCTATACACTCCTGCCAGCCCCACATGGCTCAGAGCAGAACCGTGCTCCCTCGGGGTGTCAGTGGCAAGGACCTTCCAGAGATGACCAGGCCTTTCTCCTGAGGCCATTCTGTTGTATTTGATGTTAAGTGTAGAGTCCACTATGACTCCAGTGACCATAAAGACAACAGACCAGAACCTGCCCTGTGCTTTGCCATCTTGCAAATCTCTGGCTCAACCCAGCACTGCAGTCAATCCATCTCACTGGGAGTATTCCTCTTTCCTTTCCCAGTATGTCTTTTGCCAAGTGCTGAAGTGCAAAGATATCAGTCTGGAGACTAAGGTGCACCTGATACAAGCCATGGTCTTTGCAATCACTTGCTATTCATCAGAGAGCTGGACGATAACTAGAGATGATAGAAGGAGAATGGATGCCTTTGAGCTGTGGTGCTGGAGAAGAGTACTGAATATACCATGTTCTGCTAGGAGAACAAACAGGTTCGTCCTGGAAAAGGTGAAGCCGGGCTGCTCCTTGGAGGCAAGGATTCTGAAGCTTTGTCTGACATACTTTGGACATGTTATAAGGAGGGACCAGACCTTGGAGAGGGACATCATGCTTGAAGGAGGGTGGAGGGACAGAGCAGGAGGTAAAGACTGAGGTGGACTGATTCAGTGACTGGGGTAATAGGGGTAGCTGTGTCGGAGATGGTGAGATTAGCACAGGATAGGGCAGAGTTTAGGGCTGTTGTACAAAGGATCGCTATGAGTCGCTGGCGACTCCATGGCACATAACAATAGCCCCTCCTGATGACATGCTCAGACCTCCAAGCAATATTCTAGCACTACCCACAGACTCTTCCAGGCGGGGATGGGGGTGGGGCGCAAACCCCAACAATCAAGCCCAGGTGGCAGCGGACCTGCACGGTGATGAGCTTCTTCTCGCGGGGTTTGCGGTCCGGCCACTCTTCCCCGAAGCAGAAGAAGATCTCGAAGGGCGGTGGGGTATCGGTCTGGCCCTTCTGGAACAGGATGAGCTCTGGAGGAAGGCAGAGTCGTCAGAGGAGGCGAGGGGGCACACACGCAGCTGCTGGGGGACAAAGGTAGGCCTCACCATGGAGGGGACCTCACCGTGGAGGAACTGCTCGAGGCTGAAGAGCTTGGTCTTGACCTCGCGTGCAATGGGGTTGGGGTGCGCAGCGTGGGCCTCCGCGCAGGGCCCGCTCCAGAACACTTTGCATTGGCACAGGCGCACGGCGTACAGGTCCTGGCCTTGCAGCTGCAGGATGAGGCCGCGGTCCAGCACGTCCAGCAGCTGGTTGGTGTAGAACCGCTGCTTGTCGCTGGGGATGTCCTCGGGGCTGGGGAAGCGCACCTGCTCCAGGCTCACCGGGCCGAAGAGCTCCACCTGCTCCTGCGTGGCCTGCAGCTGACTGTAGAAGAGCCGGCAGCCGTGCGGGTTGCTGATGGTGAGGGTGCGGGGCTGCCGGCCCCGGTACTGGAACTTGATCTCCAGGTCAGTCACTGCGGGCAGAGGACCGGCCGCTGCTTGGAAACCAGTCCCAGCCCCATCCGCGGCCCCATCCTCCTAGCCTGCCCGGCCACAGCTTCCCGCCTCCACACCAGTACCCCTTCGCTCTTGCCTTTTTGGCAGCATTAGGACTGGTTCATTCTGGTTTGACACCCCCACTGAGAATCTACCTACACACACACACACACACACACACACACACACACACGCACGCGCGCGCGTTAACAAGTTCTCCTCAGCCCCTCCCCACGTGATTCTTCAGACACATACACACACACATGACAGGAATCCACGTGTTAACAAGCTCTCCCATGCACATCATGTTTATCGCAGCTTTGTTCACAATAGCAAGGAGTTAGAAACAACCTAACTGCCCATCAACACACGAATGGATAGAGAAGCTGTGGTATATTCACACAATGGAATACTACCCTGCGGAAAAACAAAGAACTCATGCAATATTATTAAAAATGGGTGACCCTGGAGGACATTATGCTAAGTGAAATGTCTCAGTCATAAAAGGACAAATACTCCATGTTGCCACTGTTGTAAAACAGGACTGACCTTGGGGTTGGGGGAGACTGAGAAAGATGGGTTCAATAATGTATACTGCATTGAAACAGATGAGGGAGAAAACTGTTTAAGAGGGATATGTGATTAGGTATTTTTGTCATGACAGACGTCCAGAGCGAAGGCTGTATATAGTGAAGTGGACCTGGGGGGAGGGGTTGTAAAACTATGAAAGAATTTTTCTTTTACTTTTCCAAGAGGGTAGTGTACTAGGAGGGAGGGTTGGGAGGGGAGAAAAGTGCAACAATGAATGAATAGAAATTAAAAATAAATAAATTGTAAAAAACCCAAGCTCTCCCCAGCCCCTCCCCACGTGATTCTTCTAGATCTCATAGATTCACTCAAGGATCTGGTTTTAGATTCTCTACAATGTATATGAATAAAATATAATGTAAAGAAATTATTATATGAAAACCAATGAAAAATATTTTTAAAATATAGATTCTGATTGAGTCTATCTAAGCCAGAAATGAAAGTTCTAGGAGAAATGAACCGGTTGGAGGCCCTCTTTCTTGGACATCCTCCTTCATCCCTGGAGCCCACCCCCATCGCCCCACTGTGTAACCAACCCATGGTCCTGCTTACGGGGCAGCATGTGGGGGTTGATCAGCAGGTCGGGCAGGATCTGTTCGCCTCCGGGAGGCAGGTTGGTGGCCAAGGGCCCCGACTCCAGGCTCAGCAGGTCTTCTGGGAGCAGCTCCTCAAACCTTGGAGCCGGATTGCCAGGAGGAGGGGGCAGGACGGTGGACTCTGGAGTGGCAGGGGCCGGCACCACAGGGGGCTGGAGAGTGGGGGGCCATTTGAGCTCCTCTTTGGGTACAGGATAGGGTCCCATGGGAGGGCCAGGCTGCCCTGCAGAGGACAGGAAGCAAAGTTAGAAATACCATTTCTAGAACTTCCTTCTGAGTGCTCCTGCCCTAGGCCTCTCCCCATCTTCCCTTTGTCCCTTCTGCATACCTTTCACTAAAGCCCTTGGGCACTGCCACCCCCATTCCCCTACCCCCACTGTCCCCACCTACCTGTGAGGCTCAGGCCTGGTAACATTCTCTGAAGCTGGTGGGAAGATGTGGTGGAGGCCACAGAAGTCAGGAGACAGGCGTCAGTAAACCAGTCTGATACTGATACGACCTCCCGCAGCCCTCCAGCCTCCTGCTCGGTGTGTCTCACCCGACGCCCCTGCCCTGCCACCCCCAGCAGCATTAAGGAGCCAGGGCCTCAGTTGTGTCACATGCCTTCTGCAGGCAGTGGTGGTACAGAGCCCCAGCAGCGCAGAGGATCAGACCCAGGTGACCATGCTTGTCACCACAACCCCAGAGGGATGAGGTGACTGTGCTCCCAACATTCAAAAGCACACAGCAGGCAGGCAGCAGGAATGGCGCCGCAGGGTCCCAGAGAAGACACTTCCAAACAGGGGTCCCCCCATTCTCTGCCTCTGTGTACCTCCTCTTCTTCCTCCTCCTCCTCCTCTCCTACTCCAAAAGTGTGGTCCTCACTGGGCTGTGCATCTGTACAGCAAGGGAAAGGCAGACAAGGACAGTGAACTGGTGAGGACAAAGGTCACCAGGCCCAGGGGCCATCTGAGTCATACAAACTCCGGAGGGGACACCTGTCACTCAGCTCCCTGGCTCATTCATTCCCAGCAGACCCTAACGACTGCTGTCCACACACCAAGAACAAAAGCAGGGTGAGGAAGACAGAGGTCCTGGACAGGGCTAATGTACAAAGGACCCATCCTCTGGCCACCCGGGGGAGCCCTGCAGGCACGCTGCTGCCCTCTGCCCCACTGTAGAGGCCCCCATGAGGGCTGGGCAGCTACCTGTGAGTGCAGGGCCAGTGGAGCAGACCTCATAGACCTTGTAGGGTTGGGGCGGCATGTCACGGGGCCCATCGTAGATGAGGCGGAAGTCCCGACTCTTGTTGAGGGCACAGCGCAGGTTGGCCTTCCACTTGGCTGGGTCAGCCTCATCCACGCCTTCTGTGTACTTGCCCGTCTCCTTGGCCCAGGCCTGGGGAAGAAGAGGTAATAGAGAAGCTCGGCCTGCACCTGACGCCTCCAGGTCCCTTCAGAGGCACCTGAGCCCACAGGCCCGAGTGCTTCCATCTACCACAGCGAAGATCTGAGGCCACTCCATCCATCCCCAGCTCTCAAGCCACATGAAACTAAAGGGTTTTGACACCATTTGAACATCCCGTTTATGGCAGGCAAACTGCTACAATCTCTGAGGAGGGCAGCAGAATGTGCTAGAAAAAGGTATAGGATCTGGAGTGGGACTGGGTGTAGACGCAGAATCCACCATGTGCCGGCTGCATGGCAAAGCTAAGCCACCAGCCTCTCCAGCTTGCAGGGTGGGACTGAATGGCTAGTTAAGACTCAGGGAGCACTGAACACTATGCTGGAGGCAGTATATTTCTGATGCTGGCATTACTGCTGTGAGGGAAATCTGGGAATGCCAGGATTACAAATGAACCCAGCGATTCACCTTCAAGGAATTTATCCTAAAGATACAGAAGCATATATACAGAGCTCTGCACACACATGACCATTCTGTGCAATCCTATTTATAAAAGCAAAAGATCCTAACAACTTAAGGGCCCATAATGGGGGCTCATTAAATCATGAATTCTGGCTAAAATATAAAACAGAAGACGGGACAGGAAAAAGGGAGGATATTTTTAAAAATTATATGGAGTGCTAGTCAAGAAATAGTAGGCGCATGTCAGGAGCTAAAGAGAAGGAAAGCCAAGCCATAAGGAAGAAACAAGTTTTTAAGAATAAGTGTCATCTACTCAGAGACCAGAAAACCTGGATGGTGCCCAACTGCCGCCACTGACCGTTCTGGTCAGGACTACAAGATACATATGATGAGAGACAAACGTGAAGAAGAATTAGAAACCTTAAAAAGTCCAGACTTCCTGGACCAGGGGACACTAGACAACTGTGTCCCAGAGACAGTCTTTAAATCCTGAACTGAGCTATGCCCTGAGGTCACCTGTTAGCAAAATAACAGAGCAGAACACTCGTGTAATAAGGGACGTGGTCTAGTGGTAAGGAACTGTCCTGCCAACCCCAAGCACAGGGTTCAAATCCATCAGCTGCTGTGCAGATGGAAGATGGGAAATCTCTTTCCCTGCAAGGTTCTGACTCAGTGACAGAGAACAACAGCCACAATCCATGAATATGATGCACCATTAAAAAACACTGACGAAGAGGTTAACATCCTTTGGTTGTTAACAAGGAGAGGGGGTTGGGTAAGTGTTTTAGACAGTAGAGACAAGTTCTTTTGTTAGATGGGAAAAATCACACCAAATATGGATGCAGTGAGCGAGCACAGCACAACTAAAGTGCAAACAAGCATTGGAGCACATGTGGCCATGCATGGTGGACAGTAGGTACAGGTGTGTCCATACGTGAGAACAGAGGATCTGTAAGTATGTATAAATGTAAGTATGTAAATGTAGGTAAATATAGTCACTGAAATTACAGTTTTACACTTCAGACATACCTATGCATCTTCCGAAATTGGTTCTGAGTTTGAAGGTTTAGGACCACAGTCTCATGGAAAGCTCAATCAATTGGCATAACATAGTTCGCAACAATTATGGTCTGCATCCTTGTGAACTAAGTTGTGTCTGGGGTCTTAAAAGCTTGCATGCAATCATCTAAGATACAACTACAGACCTCAGGTTACTAGTAGCAAAAGAGTAAGAAGGTAATAAAAAAAAGAAAAAACAAATCTTCCCAAGCCACAACTGCATATACTCTGAGACCAGAAGAACTAGATAGTGCCCGGCTACCACAAACTGTTCTGACTGAAGTATGACTGTTGGTCCTGAGTAGAATGAGAGAAAAACATGGAGCAGAACTCAAATTCTTACTAAAAATTCTTTTCCAGACAAGCTAGAAACGTAGAGGACACCCTGAAACTACCATCTTGAGATGCTTTTTCTTTTTTTTTTTCATTCAATCTGAGATGCTTTTAAATCTAAAACAGAGACTATTCCTGAAGATCATATTCGAATGAAATAGCAGAGTGGCACGCTAAACAAAGGATATTACCCAGAACATTGAGCAAACTAGTAGAGTGGAACACAAAATAAAGGGCATCATCAGTATGAAATACCAGATAAATACCATCAGTATGAAACCAGAAAGTCAAAGGCAAAGCTGAAGGCATAAAGGGAGCAGGGAAACTAGAGCTCTAGAAAGGGAACAAACAGGACACAAAGGAAATGTTGACATAGTGTGATAAACATAACTAATGACATGGACTAATAATCTGTGTGGAAATTTTCAAATAGAACTTCATTTAAAAAACCTTGGGGAAATGTTACATGAAAAAGCAAAAAACGTCATTAGAGACCATAAGGTCAACAATTACTCTAAAACAGAGCTAAGAAGGTGAGGGGTCAGGAAGCCTGGAGCGCTGGAGACTGAACCACCAGAAGGCAACTAAAGAGAGTTATCAACACACTGTGAAAATGGAGCTAGTATCACTGAACAGTCTGCATGAAAATTGTCAATGCAAACCTAATTTACTATGTAAACTTTCACCAAAACACAAAAGAATAATATATTTGAAAAAGAAACAGGTGCAGAAAAGGATACCTACATCTATTTTTTTTTAATTCTTTTTTGTGTGTACCATCAAATTGGATCTGACAGATATAGGAAGAGATTGCCCCTCCTTCTCCAGCAGAGCATCTTATCACTTTTTTTTTAAAAAAAAAGGGGGGGGGGAAGGGGATAGGTACATATTTGCTTATTTAAGTACCCAATCTCTCCGAAATCATAGAAAAAAGAAATTGGTAACAGCAATAGTCTTGTCAGAAGGAAAACGTTGGCAGGGGAATAGGAAATGAGAGTGTTTTCCCCGGTAAAACATTTTATATCTTTCCCATTCTGAAGCGAGAAATTATTATATTTTTTATTATTATTATTTGTGTGTGTGTACCGTCAAATCAGATCTGACTGGTACAGGAGGAGATTGTTCCTCCTTTTCCAGCAGATCACCTGGTGGATTTGAACCACGCACCTCAGGGATGAGAAATTCATTTTTAAAAGTACTTTGAGATGGCAAAAATCAAGTGTAGAGATTAAAAAATGTGTTTGTGAAGCTTAAAAATCTGCCCTCCAGGGGAGCGCTGGCGACCTAGTGGCAAGAAACTGCACTGCAATCTCAGAGGTGCGCTGTTCAAATCCACCAGATGCTCTCTGCTGGAGAAGGAGGGACAATCTCCTCCTGGGCCAGTCAGATACCTTGACTGTACACACACACAAAAATAATAATAAAATAAAATTTTTTAAAAAAATCTACCTTCCCTTTGACCCATCAAGTTTTAACTATAGGAACTAACCTCAAGGACGGGGAAAGTGAGAGGTACCCTGGTGACAGAATGATTAAGCGTTCCACTGGTAACTGAAAAGTCAAGCGTTCAAACCCACCGGCTGCTCTGCAGGAGACACATATGATACAATCTGCTTCTGGAAAGACATGCAGCCTTGGAAACCTGCTGGGAAGTTCTACTCTGTTCTGGAGAGAAGCCAGGAGTTGGAATGGACTCGGCAGTTATGTGTTTGGGTTTGTTTTTTAAGGTGAGGATGTGCTTGGCAGTGTGGTGTTTACTCTGAAATACCAAAAGCACCTGAAAGTGTCCCAAACCCAGTATCTGGATGACCCTTCAGTGGAGTCTTGGGGAGGTTCAATCGCTATCGCAGGACTATGGATGGCTTCTATATAGCTTTTCTCATGGTCTTGTGACTTCACCAAATGATTGAGTTTGACTTTGAAAATAAGATACGTGTGACCTATCAGGAGGACTGGAAAGCTTGCTTATAATGCAAATAAGATGCCTAAGATCCTTGTGAGAGTGAGACCATGAAATATAATGTTCAAGACTCTAACGAGAAGAGGATCAGTTTTGCCATCCTACTAGGCTTAAAATGTGTTGTTCCACAGGGCGGGTAAGGAGACCTTACTGCTATCAAAAAAGAAGCGATTAGAACAGATGGTATATCCTTTGTACCCAGCATTTTTGGGGACAGAGAGAGAGAGGGCTATACTACCAAGAGATGAGAAGCAGCTGCAGAGAAATGGCAGAGGCAGCAGGTCCAGGAGACCCACAGGAGAGGAAGCACTGGGCTTCACGGCCCCAGTAGCTGTGCGGACCCATGGAAAGCTGGGCACCTTCACGCTGAGGCTCACAGTGGGGCAGGATGTCTCTGCACTTATGGTGGAGCGAAAGAACTTTGTAACAGTTGCCTGAGCAGGGCAGAGGTCAGGCAGAGAAGCCTGGGGCCCGAAGGACCAACAGCTGAAAGGCTGAGGCTAGAGAGAAGCCTGCCTGTGGGCACTCTGTGAGGCGGGCCGGACCAAAGAGCTGTTATCCTGAGTCATTCTTGATGCTGGAGTGTAAAATGCTACTTCCCTCATAAACCCCTTCACCATGACTATTCCTGTGAGTTCTGTGTAGTCACTGCAACGAATGACTAACTCAGAGGAGAAGCAGAGAGTTCCTCGGAAGAGACAGCTGCTGTCAGCATGTCTACCCTCCACCTCAGAGCAATAAGCTTTGTGAAGTTAGATGAGGAGGTCTGTGACACTGCCACCACATCATTCCTTTACCTGTTAGACTGCTAACCAAAATGTTGGGGGTTCCAGTCCACACTTTAAAAGGCACATAAAGAGGCTTGACACTCTATTCTCAAAAATACAGCCAGTGCATTTGGAACACTGCTCTTCTCTAGTACACGTGGGCTGCCGTAAGTCAGAATCTACGGGATAGGAACTGGTAAAAGTGACATGGACACAGGCTTCCCTTTTTTTTTTTTTTATTTACTTTTTTTTTTTGCTTTCCTTTCTAATATGCATGTTTCACAACAAAACCAAAGCCACTGCCTTTGATTCTATTCTTTTTTTTATTTTGTTTTTAATTTTTTTTAATTTTTATTTTATTATTTTGTGTGTGTGTGTGTGTGTGTGTGTGTGTGTGTGTACCGTCAAATTGGATCTGAATGGTACAGAAGGAGATTGCCCCTCCTTCTCCGGCAGAGCATCTGGTGGATTCGAACCGCATGTCTCTGGGACTGCAGTACAGCTTCTTGCCACTAGGCCACCAGAGCTCCCCTTAATTCTGTTCTAACCCACTGCGAACCAACATCAGGTTTCCAAGACTGTCAATCTTTTCAGGAATGACAGGGCCGCTGTGTCACTCATAGTAACAATTCAGCCCACCTTTCTCCTACAAAACAGTTGGTGGATTCAAACTGTCACACTTTTGGTTAGGAGCACCAGGTGTTATGCTCCCACCACTGAAGAGGTCAATGATTTTATCCTACTTGGATTCACAATCAACATCCTTGGCACCAGCAGTCAATAAATCAAAAAATGTATTGCACTGGGAAAGTCTGTGGTCAAGGACCTCTCCAAAATGCTAAAGAGCAAAGATGGCAATTTAAAGTCTAAGTTAGGTACATGCGATTCAGACCATGGTTTTTTCAATCACTTGCCATGCATCTGCGAGTTGGACAATGAATAAGGATGACCGAAGAATCAATGCCTTTGAGTTGTGGTGTTGGAGAGGAGTGCTGAATATCCCAATGGACTGTCAAAAAAGCAAACAAATATATCTTGCAGAAAGTGCAACCGCCGTGATCCTTAACAGAAAGGACGGTGAAACTCGGCCTTCACAGACTTTGATTGTTAGGAGAGGCTACTCCCTGGAAAAAAGACCTCATGCTTGGAAAGGTGGAGAGTTAGTGAAAGAGAAGAAAGTGGAAGACCCTCCAGGAAATGGATCCACACAGTGACTATAACAAGAGTGCAGCATGCAGATCCTTTGTTTATATGGTTGCTATGAGTCCTATTTTATTTGATGACACCTAACAACAGGGATCCTATGTCACTTATAGCACTAATTTAACATTCCACTGGAGGAATTTACAAAGCTATTCCTGATTCTGAGAGATAAGAAATGGGGCTGGGAGGCTGTAGCAGAAGTTACAAGAAAGTCTCACCTTGCTCCAACGTGCAGGTTAGAAAAGGTGGACCCTCTAGCCATCCTTGTATCCCCTTATTTCAGGTCTGCAGTTGGGAGAATGACCCAGCCTCAGGGAGACTTGGCAGGGTGCCTTCTGAGCAGGGATGCCTTATGGGAGAATGACCCAGCCTCAGGGAGACTTGGCAGGGTGTCTTCTGAGCAGGGATGCCTTAGAGGACCAGGGCTTACCTTGAAGATGGTGTTGTCACCATCCTGGCTGGGGCCGTGCCGCGTGGCGTGGCGCCAGGGGATGTAGAAGAATTTCCTCTCCCCGTTGACCCACTGAAGCCCTGGGTACTGGCAGCTGTTAACCTGGGCCACAAGCCAGGGCTTCAGCCGCACCCGGCGGGGTGCGGGGGGTACCCCAGGGGCAGGCTGGTTCATGACAAAGGCGCCTGCAGGAGAAAGCAGAGAGCTGCATCAGGAAATGTACCCTTTCCTGGGGCCTGGGGGGCTGGAGTCCTTCTAACCGGTCCTGGCAATCAAGGCCAACTCTCTTCCCAACCATTAGTGTCTATCTTGGGGTTTAGGGTGAGCAGAGGATGCTATGAAGGGGTGCCTTTTACAGGCTGGATAGCAATTCTTTGGTTGTGGTGGACACTGAGGCAAAGAGCTATCCCTTCTCAACCAGAGAACTGCCCTCCACTGCCTTGTTCGGAGGGTAGGTCTACCTATTCATGTTGAATGATGGGTGAGAGCACTCACGTGGGCGTGTGTGTGTGTGTGTGTGTGTGTGTGTGCGCGCGCGTGCGCACGCCATCAAATCGGATCTGACAGGTACAGGAGGAGATTGATCCTCATTCTCCAGCAGAGTATCTGGTGGATTCGAACTGGGCAACTCTGGAACTGCAGTGCAGCTTCTTGCCACCAAGCCACCAGAGCTCACCCCACGTGTGCCTATTTGTAGGCAAACAACGTTCCCTAGGGACCGTGATTTCTCCCACCTGCTTGGAATCTAAGTCTTTGAAGGACACAGTATGGAGGGGGAGGCTGATGAGGGTGGTACGTATAGGGAAGAGATGGGAGTCAGAAGGCCATGCTGTCTAGAACAAGGGTGATGTGAGAGTCCTGGGTGCCCCCCACCATCAGCCCACCCCTCAGTACCCACACTCTACTCTCCGTAAGGCCATGAATGGCCTAAACTCTTCAGAGAGCGCTCTAAGTCTCTTAGCTCACCCTTCAAGCCCACCCACCTTTCTTATCTTCCAGGTGGGTGGGCAACCTCCTCAACAGCAGGAGAGTCCTCCCACCTACCCTGTCCACTGCCTGGACCCCTGACCAGTGCCTGCACCAAAGGAGCACCAGTCAGTCAGCACACCAGAGACACAAAGTACCCTGTTCCCTGCACCCAGCCTGTCCCCTCAGCTCCTCCTGACCCACAAGGCAAAGTGAAAAAGGGTAGGAAGCAGGCCTATCAGGGAGGAAGGATGAAGAACATAGGGGAAGGGGAGCTCTGGTGGCCTAGTGGCAAGAAGCTGCAATTACAATCCCAGAGGTGCACGATTCGAATCCACCAGATGCTCTGCTGGGGAAGGAGGGGAAATCTCCTCCTGTACCAGTCAGATCTGATTTGACGGTACACACACACACAAATAATAATAAAAAAAAAAAAGAACACAGGGGAAACTCAGCCGGGTGAAGGAGGAGGGATGTCCTCAACATTCGAGGTATCACCATGTGACAAAGGGACCAGGTTCAGAGTTAAATGTCAGTCGCCATTCACTGAGACCCCTGGGCCCAGGTTATAGGACTTTCTGACCAATACAGGCTCAAGGTTATGATCTGTTGTCGACAGGGTCGCTATGTGGTCTTAGTCCACTCCACAGCACCTGACAGGAGACACCCAACCAGAGGCTGGCCTGCTGTCTGAGGCTGAAGCCACTACTCGTGGGCTTTCCCGCTGGGACTGGGTGAAAGGCTAGCTAAGGGGACCCCCTCAGCCTGGAACGTCCTCTTGTTTCTGGCCTATATTAGCCTGGGAGCACTGAGTCTCCGTTTCCCCTCAATTCCTTGCCCAGGACCTTTCAGGTAAATAACACCAGGTCACACCTGGGGAGATTCCCTTTGTGGCCTCAGCACAGTGACAGCTGAGTTACCAGGGGCCCAGGCCGGGCAGAGCATGGGGGTGTGGGGGTGACCACTTCCAGCCCTCCCCAAGGCTTCAGTGGGCTGCAGGCTCAGTTCCCCTTTCTGCCTCCACCCAGCCCCGAGTGTGGGGGGACAGGGGCGGAAATGAAAGTGGCTAGATCTACCAACTGGGAACTAGAGCTGGGGGCAGCGAGGGGCAGTCGAGCATCCACAGGGTCATACGGGTGTGCTTGGTCCCAGTGGGTAGTGTTCCCACGTTTAGATCTATAACCTCCCAAGAGGCTTGGTGCTTGAACAGAGAGGAAGAGTCATCCCTCTATTCTGGTCAAGCTGGGGTGTCAAAAGCTATCCACAGACAGGAAGGCAGCTTTCTAGCGCGCGCGCACACACACACACACACACACACACACACACACACACACTTATCTACCCACAAGAGCACACACAGATGTGCACATACACAGCTCACTCAGGCCTGGGGGAAGGATGGGGTGGCATGTGGAGAGCCTAGAATCACCTCTTATTCCTCCTCTTCCACCTCCTCCTCCTCTCCCACCTCCTCCTCCTCCTCATCATCCTCATCATCCTCCTCCTCCTCGACCGTCCTCTCCTGCCCAGCACAGGAGGAAGTAGGACTGAGCCCAGCACCCCAAGCCCGGCAGGCCCTCACTCAGCTCAGAGCAAGGGACTGAAATGTAGACTCTGACTGGGAAAGCTTCCACAGCCTGGTGAGGGGTACAGAGACCGCCCACGGCACTTCACCTGGGGGATGATCTTCCAACCACAGAGAGATCATCAGCCCTGGGGCCTTAGATCAGATCGGAGTCAGGCCTACAAGGGCGTCCTCCCGCTCAGGACACTCAGCCCTGGCTTCCAGGGCGGTTCCGCTGGTCAGAGGCTTGAGTCAGACCATCCTGATTTGAATCTGCTTCCATGCCTCAGTCCCCACCTTCCCCCAGAAGCAATCACCGAGCAGCCAAGCTGTTCTTCATTTCCTTCATGCCCTCCTAATTTGAAAATTGTCCATTAAATTACAAAACAATTCAAGGTTTTAAAAGGAAGATCAGCCTCCCAGGAGTATAGACGTTAAAACCAGGACCCTGGAAAATCTAGAGACTCTCCTCTAGTCCCTGGTTGGCCCTGAACCCATGACCACTTGGGAAGAGTCTGGAAGCCCAGTGAAAGAGATGCAACCCTGTCTGTAGGTTTTAGCCCCAGAGATTGGGGTATATTAGTAGCTTCCCCTCCAACTTACACGGGACTATCAGCAGGGATGGGTTACTGACGACCTGAGGACACCGCCACAAGTGAGTCCTGTGAGGAACTTAAGAGGGGCAAACCGTAGTGGGGTGGGGAGGCCCCTAGCTCACTTGCAGGTGGAATGGCTGAAGGCGCTCTGCAGACCAGGTTGGTGGCTGGGCCCCGTACCCTGTCCCAGTTGTCTAGTACAGATGGACGGCGCTCCCAGCAAACCCTATTCCAGGCTCAGTATGAAGACAGGGGTTCACTGCCTCAGGTGCGGCTCTCAATGCCCCCTAACCCTCCCATCAGGCCCTCAGGTCCGGGTCGATGAGGCGGGAAGAGTGAAGAGCGCTTCTCTTAACAGCGCAGGGGTGGAGACAGGACACAGGGGAAAACCCAAAAGCGGGGTCTTTGGAAAAGGAGGGTGCTTTCCCCATGCCTTCCAAGACTCCTATGGGGAAACCCCTCAGCCTGGGGCCACAGGGCTGAGAATGAAGAGGAGGAGACTAGATCTCCCGCCTGCTCCCTTCTGATGCCTCTTGAGTCAGTCCGCAAGGAGCCCAAGCCGTCCTGGAGGGAGCTTCCCCAGGCTCCGACCAGGCGCACCAGCCGCCCTCTCGGATGAGCCCGGGTTACTACTTAGTGTCAGCATTCAACACGCCCCAGCCTCATCCCCGCTGCACCCATGAACCCGGGGAGCCCCAAACCACCCACCCGGTCCGAGTAGGGAGCAGGGGCGGCGGCGCCGGTATTCCCACCTCCAGCTGCATCGATGCCACACCAGCCTCCCTGTTACTCCACTTTTTGACTCTTCAGAAGAACTTAATGAAACGGCCCAAGAACTGTGCCCCCCAATTCTTCACCACTAGGCCTCCCCTTTCAGATCATCTTCCCATGAACTCAACCTTGGACCTGGAGCTTATCCGAAAGGGCGCGGGATCCCCGAGGACCCCACAGAGGGCGCGCAGAGACCGACTCGGGGCCCCGCTCCCGCCGCGCGCTCCACCGGCCGCGACGGCCAAGCCCGACCCTCGTGAGCGCCCTGTCCCTGCCCGGCGATGGCGAGGCGGAGCGCGACCGGAGGCCCGGCAGGCGCCCTGGCGCCCCGCGGGGCGATGGCGACACCCCAACTCTCTGGGTGCTGGGGGCGCCCCCGAGGCCGCTGGATGGCGCGGCGCGCGCGCCCTGCAGGGAGGCCGGCAGGTGTCTGGGACGCGGACGCCGTCCCGCCGGGGACCAGTGGCCCTGCGCGTCCC